CAAATAAGTGAGGTGATTGCTGCCTTATTCTGTAAATTTACATCTTTGCTTTAGAGGGAACTATATTTTAGAGAGAGTGGATGTGGGTTCTATTGTGTTCTGTTTCTTATTTACGGTTAGGTTAGGTTAGGTTAGGTTAGGTTAGGTTAGGTTAGGTTAGGTTAGGTTAGGTTAGGTTAGCTGCAAGGATGTAGGAGAAAGAAGTGGAATGAAACAAGAGGAAGAGAAAAAGGATAACAAATTTATGAATGATAAAAGTGCCATAGGGAAGAATAAGGGTTGAAGTGTCAGTAAAGGCAAATTGAGAGGCAAGAAGTAATATGATGAACAGATAAGAGAGGAGATATGAAGAGATGGTAAGACAGGAATATCAACATGGAAAAGCAGAGAGGAAGAGATGGAAAAGCAGAGTCGGGGAAAGATGGAAGGGAATAGAAATTCAGATGGGAGGGCAAATATGGATACATAAGGAAAAACAGAGAGATAGGATAATAGAAAGTGAGAGAAGGGAGAAGGAGACGAAGACGTTTTGAGAGGGGCAGAAAAAGATGGAATGACGGAGAAGGAGAGATAGAATACCAGGAAAGTGAGAGATTGGAAGAAAGATAGAGATGGCAATTCAGAAAGATAGAGATTAAAGGCAGCGAGGACAATACTGGAAACTAGGGAGTGAGATGAAAGGAAAGGATTTATTTGATATTAAAGAGAGAGAGAGAGAGAGAGAGAGAGAGAGAGAGAGAGAGAGAGAGAGAGAGAGAGAGAGAGAGAGAGAGAGAGAGAGAGAGAGAGAGAGAGAGAGAGAGAGAGAGAGAGAGAGAGAGAGAGAGAGAGAGAGAGAGAGAGAGAGAGAAAACATAAAAAAATACCTAAATTAATATTTTTCCCCTTAAATATGTAAATAAGTAAATGCAATAAGACAGAGATATGTACACTAAGGCAGTGAAATACAAAACAAACAAAGACACTAATAATAAAAATAAACAGAGAAACAACAAGGCAAAAAGATAAATAAACACTCAAATAAAAAAAGTTTCTAATAGAGGTAAATTGAATTAAAAAAAAAACACAGGCAAGAATAGGAAAACATGCAGGAAAAACCTTTTACCGCGGCCAGGGAAAATACGACGGGCATTCTGGGAGGTTATTTTTTTCCTTTAAAGTTGATGTTTCTTGTCAAAGAAACTCTTATCTTAAAGAGTCTGGAAGAAACAATCGATAGGCCGAGCGTGGAAGGTCTTATCAAACGAGATGATTGCTGCTATTATTAACAAATCAGCAAAAGTGTCAGTTAAGATCGGAAGCAGCATTAACAGCAGGAGCAGCACCAACAGCAGAAGCAGCCTTAACAGCGGAATCACCACCAACACCAACAGAATCAGCAACATCAGGGCTAGCGAAATCAGCAACAGTCGGGAAATCCACAGCAGAAATAGCAGCTGCATCAGCAGCAACAACAGCATTAGCAGAAGCAGCAGCATTAGCAGAAGCAGCAGCAACAGCAGCAGCAGCAGGATTAGCAGCAGCAGGATTAGCAGCAGCAGGAGTATTAGCAGCAGCAGCAGCAGCAGCAGCAGTATTAGCAGCAGCAGCAGCATTTGCAGCAGCAGCAGCAGTCACGTCTACATCAGAACAGTCACAAACTGCATCATTGTCAACTGCCTTATCATCAGCAGCAGAACCATTATCAGCTGTTTTAAATAGCAGCAGCAGCACTGTCAACTGTTTCAACATTAAAACTACGTAACTATTACTAAAACATTAAGGCAAAATATTAACAAAAATCAGAAGAAACAAAACAACAGCTGCACGAACAACAACAACACCAACAAACACACCAACAAACACAACAAACACAACAACCACAACAGGTAACTTGTTCCTTCATACGCAGTAATAAAGCATAGTAAATCTCGGGTCTGAAATCTGGAAAATCATTATCATTTGTCACAGACATCAAGTAATTTACGATTTTGCGTGTGAGGGGGCGCGGCCCTGTCGCTTGCCTGCTGTCTCTCTCCTCTCCATTTCTTGCACGATTAGAAAACATTTTTGTACATGAGCATTGACCTGATCCTCTGTGTTACTGTGTGTGTGGGGGGGGAACCTGCTGGAGAAGTCTAGCTGTAAAAATACACACACAAAAAAAAAATATTCGTATCTTTTCTACCCCTCTGATGAGAAAAGTTTCATGCAGTCTTATCTATGTCTCTTCCACGACCCAGGAGGTGCCAGCAGTGAACAACTTTGAACATCTTCCCTTCCATACCTGTGTTACGACCTCCCCGGGGCTCGAACAGGGGGAGGGGATGGGGACCTCTTGGTCTGAGGACCTTCATACGACCTTTATGTCTTCGACACGTTGGGTTCAGTAGCCTTTCCGAACCCTCCAATATGCACTCTGGTGTTCACGTAGGGCCGACGGGGCCAAGCAAGTCGCTCACAGGGCGGCGCCTGAAAGATAAGTTTACGGGATGCAAGTGGTGAATCGACGGAATGAATTTGGTGTGAATTTGGTACTAGACTAGAAATAAAAAATGAATTTTGGAGAATTGATTTTTCAATTACCATCAACAGTAAAAAGAAACATAAGAAAGATCGAGAAAATTCGTGTTAGAATTATTAATCTTACTTTTTCGGTCATATTTAATAATATATGTCTACAGGAAAGACTGCTACCAAAATATACTAATATATATATATATATATATATATATATATATATATATATATATATATATATATATATATATATATATATATATATATGTCGTACCTAGTAGCCAGAATGCACTTCTCAGCCTACTATGCAAGGCCCGATTTGCTTAATAAGCCAAGTTTTCCTGAATTAATATATTTTTCTAATTTTTTTCTTATGAAATGATAAAGCTACCCATTTCTTCATGTATGAGGTCAATTTTTTTTTAATGGAGTTAAAATTAACGTAGATATATGACCGAACCTAACCAACCCTACCTAACCTAACCTAACCTATCTTTATAGGTTAGGTTAGGTTAGGTAGCCGAAAAAGTTAGGTTAGGTAGTCGAAAAATAATTAATTCATGAAAACTTGGCTTATTAGGCAAATCGGGCCTTACATAGTAGGCTGAGAAGTGCGTTCTGGCTACTAGGTACGACATATATATATATATATATATATATATATATATATATATATATATATATATATATATATATATATATATATATATATATATATATATATATATATATATATATATATATATATATATATATATATATATATATATATATATATATATATATATATATATATATATATATATATATATATATATATATATATATATATATATATATATATATATGCTCGCCATAGCACGGGCTATGGCGAGCCCGTAGATATATAAAGGCTTTTGAGGAATCTTTAAGACATTAGCGAGTAATGGGAAAATACTGCTGTTAAACCCATCTCACTGATGATAGTGTGATACTTGACATTATTGTTCCTGAGATAACGAGGCGAGAAGCATTATTATCCAATCCCCAGGATAACGAGGGAGAGTGTATCATTATCCACGTCACGGGGATAATGAGGCAAGAGGCATCATTATCCACGGCAAAGAGAAAATCTGGGACCAAGCAGAGTTATCTTCGATCATTGTTATGTTCGATTCATTATTCTTATGACCAATCTTCATTTTCTACGACCAATCATTATTGTCTGAGACTAATTATAGTTAAGATCAATCATCAGTATCTAAGACCAATCATCTTTATCTACTACTAAATATTAGTATCTACAATCAGTCATCCATCTCCCCGACCAATCACTTTTATCTACGAATACTCATCATAATCTACAACCAATCACCATTATCTACGACCAATCATCATTATCTACGATCAGTCATCATTATCTACGATTAAATATCATTGTAAGCGGCCCAGGTTTAATTCAGCCTCCCGTGACATCATTAATAATGAGTCGAGGTATTAGGACTCAGATGGTAGAGGAAGCACTTTACTCTAATTAATCCATAATTGATCTCTAATTATCATTTTTTGTGATCCTTCTAATTGCACCAAAGTTGGTTTCCAGCTAAAATGAGTTAATCTTTCAATTTTTTTTTCCCTTGTCGTCTAAAAAGCTTTGATTTTGAATATGTTATTAAGATCATGATATGATATATTAATTGGGAGTATAATGTCATGCATCATGGCTATTAGCTTATGCAAATTCATCGATACGGTAATTAAGAGGTAATTTTGGTTGATATACTCGTCAATATCAAATAATATTTGTGTATTTTTTGGTGATGAATTGTGAAGAATCATCGGTTGGTCCGATGGATCTTCTAAGAGTATGATGGGTTTTGTGGCGCAGTGGTCTAGGTCCTCGCTTCACAATCGAGGGAACCGGGGATTGAGCCCAGTTCCCTCGATTGGCGCTAGAAATCGCCAGGTTCTAGAAATTTGTTATAACGTCTCTGGTATTTAGTGAATTTTTACTTGAATGTTCTGTTACTTATTGTGAGAACATGTTATCTGTAAATTAAGCTTCTGTTGAGTAAATTGTTTAATAGTTGGCGTCTTCAACGTTGTTTATGAAGTTCAGCATAATCAAGCCCAAACTACTTGGGCTGGACGGTAGAGCGACGGTCTCGCTTCATGCAAGGTCGGCGTTCAATCCCCGACCGTCCAAGTGATTGGACACCATTCCTTTTCCCCCGTTCTCATTCCAAATCCTTATCCTGACCCCTTCCCATGTGCTATATAGTCATAATGGCTTGGCGCTTTCCCCCGGATAACTCTCTCTCTCTCAGCATAATCAAATCTCTTTAAAAACAGTTTCCTTACCAACTCTAACCTCAAATTCTTCTCTCACACTCTCCTCACATTACGAGGTGCAGTTAATTACCTCAAAATAGTTTAATACCAATTCGTACATTGAACTAGTGAAGCAAACGACCTTGTTAACCTCTGAGTCCCGCAGTTATTACTCGGCACATCTGGTCTTCATGCGGTCAGGGATTTCTTGCGGATTAACTTCGTATTCTGCTAATTGCTTCGTCAGCCACAAAGTGCTGGGTCCTCTTTATGGCAATGATGGTAATGATTACTCTGATTGGTGGTGTTCTGGGGGGGAGGGAGGGTTCTTCATGGGTGTGGGCTACTTCATGAGTGTGGACTACTCCATGGGTGTGGACTACTCCATGGGTGTGGGCTACTCCATGGGTGTGGACTACTCCATGGGTGTGGACTACTCCATGGGTGTGGACTACTCCATGGGTGTGGGCTACTCCATGGGTGTGGACTACTCCATGGGTGTGGACAACTCCATGGGTGTGGGCTACTCCATGGGTGTGGACTACTCCATGGGTGTGGACTACTCCATGGGTGTGGACTACTCCATGGGTGTGGGCTACTCCACGGGTGTGGACTACTCCACGGGTGTGGGCTACTCCATGGGTGTGGACTACTCCATGGGTGTGGACTACTCCATGGGTGTGGACTACTCCATGGGTGTGGGCTACTCCACGGGTGTGGGCTACTCCATGGGTGTGGACTACTCCATGGGTGTGGACTACTCCATGGGTGTGGGCTACTCCACGGGTGTGGGCTACTTCATGGGTGCGAGCTACACCACGGGAATATTGGCCAGTCATGGGGGGTATGGGATTCCTTTGTAAAATAAAGCTACAACAGAACACTCAACATCACATGCAACAATACATTCAACAAGCAATATCCTCCATCAAAACCATGCAAGAAAACTCTTGCAATAAAGCTAAAAGAAAACTCGTGAAATATACATTGTATTCATATGCAAGAAAAATGCAACTAACAACATATGCAACGCAGGTGTTACATGTTGCATACAATATATGCAGCATAGCAAGTACAACATGCAAAAACATATGTGGAACAATTAATTATCATAAAATCCATTATCTCATACTCTAACCACTGAATCATTAACACAGCCCAGCAGAGGAAATGCGTGTATACAAAGCTGAAAATAAACAGTAATTACTGACATACTTAATACAAATATACACTTTAAAGGAAAAATATTCAGAATAATACAAAAAGATAATCCGTGGGCATGGGTCAGTCTCTTCCGTAAACACAGCCACCAGGAGAGAAACATCACTACACAGACACCAGGAGAGAAACGTCACTACACAACCACCAGGAGAGAAACATCACTACACAGACACTAGGAGACAAACGTCACTACACAACCACCAGGAGACAAACATCACTACACAGACACCAGGAGAGAAACGTCACTACACAACCACCAGGAGAGAAACATCACTACACAGACACCAGGAGAGAAACATCACTTCACAGACACCAGAAGAGAAACATCACAACACAGCCACCAGGAGAGAAACATCACTTCACAGACACCACGAGAGAAACTCTCAACAGCCATAATGATAAACTCCCAGGTGAACAGAGGGCCTCGGGTGAAATGAAACATTGCCCAAACGTTTCCGTCCTGCCTCAGGAAAGGAATCGAGGACAATTTTTTGACCCGACTTAACTGATCATTCTCCCACAGAGCCCCTTTTGTTATCTCCCTTTAGCTTGTTGATTCATCAGCAGAATTTCAACAAGGTTGTTAGGAAATGAAGATAGCTGGTCCAATCCCCTGATGGAAATCACTGAGATTGAGGAAATGCTTTGTGGGGAGGAAATTTGCTGAGCCGTTCTTGGCTGCTATTAAACTCCCACCTTACTAGACACAATGACTTGGGCAGGCAGGAAGGGTGGAAGGAACTATCAGGAGAAAGTTCCAAGTTATAACGACTATATAGCACTTAGAAAGGGGGGTCAGGATAAGGATTAGAGACGGGACCCTGGGGAAGGAATATTGGGCAACCACTTGAACGGTCGGGGATTGAACGTCGACCTGCATTAAGCTAGACCGTCTTTCTACCGTTCAAACTTTTGTTTGCTTCGGCTGGAAACAATCGAAGTTTGAAGCTACCACGTATCTCTCCTTTAAAAATAACATTTCTTGAATTTATATAACAAAAGGATGTATCGGGTTAAAAAATTTCAATAACTCCAATAAAGTCATTTTAATTGATAATATTTATAAAGCAAGAATTACTACGTATAATAATCCCCCTTAACAGCAAGCAGAATAGCAGAGTTCAGCAGTAAAGATAGACCTTCAGCAAGGAATAGCAGGAAATAGAAAAATAGCAGGTGAAATAGGGAAAAAAATGCTGCAACAAATTCCACGAAAACATTAGTTTTCCTGAAATTTGTTAAGAAACCGAGCCATCGTAGAGGAAGAATATCTCTGAAAGTATTGACTTTAAACTTCTTCAGAATTGTGGTATAAGCAGAATATAGTTATATTCCAGTCAATATGATAATTACATTAATTATATTGTATATACTGTGTTCTTTGCGACAATTTTAAATACAAAATTATTTTTTCATTTATTAATATGAATTATAAAATGTATTAATTACAGCTTCTGTTGTCATATAACTATTGTTCACATGAACAAGGGAATCACACTAGTGTGATATACTATATCAATTAGAGAATTTATATAGTGAATAATAATAATAATAATAATAATAATAATAATAATAATAATAATAATATATTCCTGTGTATTAGTACATATTCGATAAATATTCCAATATATATATACCAGTATATATTTCAGAATACTGAACAGTCGAGTACATATCTCAAAATATTTTCCAGAATAAATTCTAATAATAATAATATCAGAGATTACAAGCACGCAGAGTTCTAGTTTATTTTGAGCTCATTCGTAATCATAAACTTTATGTTTTTTTTTTTTAAATGCAAATTAAAACTGGACAAAACTATACCCTCCGAAACTCCACATTTCGTAAAAGAACCAAGGACAAAGCCTTCATCTGAAGCAGCAGCAACAAAGAAGAGGTCACTGACATTGCATAAACTCAACATTCGCACGAAAATATGAGTATAATTCAGAGTTGAGTCCCAGTCCTGAATTGGAAAAGTTTGATAGATAGGGGACGTGACTCCACGGTCCGTCTGAACCCCAGGCCACATGGCTAAGAATTTCTCTACTTCAATCTATTTCATATCCTGTGGGTGGGGGGGGGGAGATGAGAAGCTTGCATAGGAGCATCGACTGCTTTTCCCGCGTGTCGCTGTTGTTGACTTTTATGCCGACTGCAATTGCTCTCTAGTTCCTCTTGTTTTGATCTTATTCTTCGCACCTCGTAACTTTTGAGACGTCTTTCTTGACGGACGTCAAGATGGACGTCTATCAATGTCCCTATCTGTCAAACCATGTCCCTATCTGTCAAACCATGTCCCTATCTGTCAAACCATGTCCCTATCTGTCAAACCATGTCCCTATCTGTCAAACCATGTCCCTATCTGTCAAACCATATCCCAATCTGTCAAACCATGTCCCTATCTGTCAAACCATGTCCCTATCTGGCAAACTTTTCCACAATCGACTTGAGAATGGTCCAGGACGGACCAAAACGTCGTCGTCCCTACACCTTCTAGTGTGTGGTCTGGCCAACGTCCATCTTGACCTTTTAGTCCACCCTTCTTGGCCCTATACGTCCAATTTTAAGGCCTAATTTCGTAACAATTACCTTTTTCCTGGACGTTTTACGCTTTCTTAAGCTTCTTCTTGCCACCTGTAATGCTCCTGAATCTTATTTCTCCTTCCTTCTTAGCACCAGACGCGATCTTCCTCCCCCCATCCTTTAACTACTGCTGCCATTCCCACGGGTCTTGTAATAAAGTGAGGCAACTGGAAGACGACCGCCTCTTCCTGGTACTCCTCTCCCTCTTCCTCCTCCTCCTTCTCTTCCTCCTCCTGGACTCTCTCTATTACTCTCCCAGTGATGAGCTTCCTCAGACTAGCGTGCCCAGTCGATTTATAACCCCCAGGTATTTCATGTGATATCCCTTAGATGGGGACTTGGGGAAGAGGAGCAGGGAAAGGGAGGAGCAGGAGGAGAGAGATAAGGAAAGAGAAGGAGAGAGTGTAAGAAAAGAGGAGAAGGAGGGATTGCAAGAAAGGAGGATGAGAGATGGATAAGGAAGAATGAGGAGACGAAGAGATAGACAAAGGAGCAGAGAGGGAAAACAATGTAAAGGAGAATATAGAGAAGTAGAGAGAAAGGAAAAAGCGAAGGAAAAAAAGTAATCAGAATGAAAAACGGCAGAAAGTTCCAAGGAAAAACGAGGAGAGATACACAAATATGTGAAAAGAGTTTGAAAGAAGAGAGGTGATGAAAGCAGAGAAAGGAGACTGAAATGATCGGAAAAGTAGGAATGAAGGAAGGAATTAAATAAGAAGGTATGTAAGGTGGAAAGTAAAGGATTAAGTTAATTTAGTGAGACATGACATTGGTGCTGTATCTTTGGCTCCACTGACGCCCTAGATACGAGGTCATTGGCCTCCCCTAACTACGAGGTCACTGGCCTCCTACCTACGAGCTCACTGGCCTATCTACGAGGTCACTGGCCTCCTATCTACGAGCTCACTGGCCTCCTATCTACGAGCTCACTGGCCTCCTTCCTCAACCAAACAGCCTCGACCAGACAGCCAGAGAAAACAGAACTCTGGGATAACATAAGACTTCCTTATGAGGATTTCCTGTTATTCCACAGGACTGGAAAACTTCGATAGGACTCTCCCGGCTGCCTTGTCCGGACCATAGGAGCTCAGCTTGAAGCATGCTTTGAAGTGCTGCATTAGCTGTCGTTCCCTTCATGAAGGGAACTGCTGATCTAGAGCTATATTGATGAGGATTAAGTCACCCAATAGGGTGGCACGGGCATGAATAACCCGTAACTGTGGTACCCTGAATGTAGGGAAGTGTTTCCCTAACTAGCGTACCACTCGTGTAAGGGTTTTTCTTGGCTAGTGTGCCTTTCATGAAGTGCATTCATCTCTGTCTCATTTCTAGGAAAAAGTCTTTTTTTAGAGTTGGAAAACAAAATAATATAATATTTTTCCCTCCATTGTGCGTGGCCGAGATACATTGCTTTATATTTAGAGTTTTTATGGATCTTTGTGAATGGTTATTTAGTGTTTGGGTTTTAAGTAAATGGTGTAGAACTTGTATATAAAATGTTGTATAT